CGGGACGGAGCACGCCGGGTTCTCACCGGACCAGGCTCTCACATCACCAAAATCTTCGGGGGGGGGAAGAAAAACCTTGTAGATATGGTAGGTAGTTACCTGGTCCGCGAATCCAACCGCGCCGTTAGCGACCATCAGACTGCCATCTGCGCTCATGCTCGCGCCCCAAATAGAGGCCCCCCTCGAAGCGATCGCGAACTTGCCCCAGGATGCCCCGCCGTCGATCGGGGCGGCCGCTAGGCCGTACACGCCTTCGACCAAGGCCATCGCGCCCGCCGCAGCCAGGCTGGTTACTCCGGCGGCGGCCTTCGCGACCCCGTGGAGCAGGTATTGGAGGGAATGACGACACCCACGACGGGAGCACTTCCGGCTGCCGCCTCCAACGCCTATTCTACAACTGCTTCCCCCAAGGTTTCCATGACGCTTTCCCCCACGAAACCCCCACCTCTTCGACCGCCTCTTCCACTGTTCCCGTAGGATCGACGGCGCCGAGGACGGCCGGAGCTTTGTCCCTGGCCGCGTCGAAGGCCTTCACGGTGGACTCCGCAAGACCTTCGGCTTGGGTTTCGACCTGCTTGACGTAGCCCTCGACAACTTCTTGGGCGCTTCCGGCGTCAGAAATTCCTCGCGAGGTAACCCCGCCTGCTTCATTCATGGCGCGTGCTGCTCCGTGGACGACCTCCGTCCCCGCCTTGCCACCCTCTCTAAGAGCATCATGCACGACGCCTACTGCATCCCCGACCACCTCCCCGGCCTTCTGGACCACCTCGCTGTTCGCCAATTATTCAACAGCGCCCACGAGTACTCCCTCTTCGCCGTCCTCCGTGCCTTCGGTCTTCTGTCCGCCGGTTTCCAGGAGCACGCGCTTCTTCTTGGCCTGAGCGACCGAGGAGGAGAGGGACGAAGGCCGAAAGCGTTGCAAAAGTTTGCTCATTCTGGCGAATTGGTTGTTGTTGGTGCTATTGCTTGTTCTTCATGTTGCTGTTATTGTTCTTGTTGTACTCCCAAGAAAAAAAATGGAGAGATTTGTGTCGTGAAAACATTGTATTTCTTCATTTTCGTCGGGACAAGTTCCGGGGGATCTCCCTACCTTGACTCAATTTCCCTCTCTCTCTCTCTCTCTCTCTCGCTCTCTCTCTCCCTCTCTCTCTCTCCCTCCCTCCCTCCCTCCCTCTTTCTCTCTGGCACGGGGACTGGGCTTGTGTCGACAGTTTGCCGCATCCTCAAGCCCCCGGTACCAGAGGTTTGCGCCCCAACAGAAGGGAGTCCTTCTTGCTCTTACCTTTGGTGGGCGACAAAGTCGCAGGCGATAACGAGCGAGAGCGTCAGGACGATCGGCCCGCAGCACAGTGCACAAGCGGGCATCGTACCGTGAAGGGGGTCGAATTAGCCGATATTGAACTCTTCACAGAGCGGGGCGACAGAGTGTTTCATTTTCGTCTGATTCTCAATAACTGAAAATACCAGCACCCCCCCTCCCACCGCCAGGTCCAACAACTACGCAGGGCTCACGTCCCCTGTCGTCGGCACCAGAAGGGCGGCGTTCCAAACATTTCGTCCAGAATAGCCCAAACAAGAAACCCTTTGTCCGTCTGGAGTTAGGCTCCGATTTCAATCAACCGGGCCTCCAAAATTGGCCCAGGGATGGTGGGTGTGATTTCACTATCAAATGCCCCCCGTGCAGCGCCCCATCCACCCCTTGCAGGATAGCAGCATGCCCTGGTACAACATGCCACCGGATCGGGAAGCACTGAGTCGGGGGGTGGCGGCGGGTTGTTGCTGAAAGTCCCGTTGTTGTTGTTGCTACTGCTGCTGCTGCTGCTGCTGTTGTTGTTGTTGTTGTTGTGTAGATGGTGGTGGTGGTTCTTCCACCACCCTGTCTGGTTCATCATTTTGCGGAGTGCTCTTCACATGAACAAGCCTGGTACCCAACATGCACCCCGGGCGTTGAAGCCCGCCCGCGCTTGAATATGAAAGGGAGTGATACAGGGATTGAAGACAGAGGATGATCAAGGCAATCCTTGCAGCTCGGTATGGAGCATGCTGCATAAGTGTGCGTAGCGGAAATCATCTCAGGGCGAAGTCGAGGAAGGAGTGCATGTTTGGGCACGACTCCGATTGCTCCAAACTTGCTAGACTGTGGAGGTTCAATGATTCAAAGTATATTTGCATTGCTTTCGTAGCGTCTTTCAACCTTCCGGAGATAGGTGCCACGCACGGGTGTAACACGGACGACTACCACCGCAGGCCCGACCCATCCCGTAGCGCCGAAAAAACAACCTCGCCAAGAGACCTTGCAGCCGGCGGGCCGTAACCGTTGCACATTTTCCTCTGAGGCCGATTTGACGCGGGTGGTGAGCGAGTGTACACTGGGATCCATTATATGCTTGAAAATCATCACAACGACACTCACTCGCAGGATTCAGAGGCCCTCCGAATGAAACCAAGAGACTTTGTGCCACGTCCCATGTCAAAACGCACAAGCTATAGGTTACGTCTGCATCTTCAAAGCTCGCTAAACAGCTCATCACGACAACCCTCCGGCTGAAAAAATACGCAAGTGTATGTACATATTTTCTCCACAAACCGAACACAAATCTTCCCCAACGGCACCTGTGAGATGCGAATATACAACGAAGGCGCCCGAAAGCCTTTCGTTCCTCATTCAATGCGGTCCGGAGAAAGCTCTCTCAACAAAACTCTTCATAGATCCACATTATTGTTACCTGAAAAACTCTCGGACACAACAGATTCTACCAAATCGTAGAACTGCCGAACCGACCTTTGGCAACAACCCTCATCCTTCAAGGAGAAGAAAGTTCATGACGGATGAAGGACCGTACGAACGGTTTCGCAAGAACGACCGCGCCGAGTCAAGTGCCAAGAACACCTTCTCCCATGAGAAATAACAAGTGCTCTACCGTCTTCTTGAAATCGAAGAATGGCAGGGCACGGAATGACGGAAATCCAAACAGAAATATCGAACAATCCTGAGCTCACACGCAACGAGACGCACCACACGCATACACGCAATGCAACTATCGGTATGGGACTACGTTCAAGCGGAAATACCGCGCCCTCCACGAATGATACATTAACATTTGGGGAGTGAGTGCATGCGCAGAACATTCGAACACCATGAGCCTCCGAGAATGCCAAAAAAGGCGGTGACGAAAGGATTGTGTATTTGCCCTGATCTCAAAAATCACACAGCGACAGGGTGCCAGCGAACTATGTACTCCGAAGTAGCACCATAACGCGACATGCATGGCCGGCAAGAGACAGAAGACCACGAGAAAAAAACATCAACGATGGACGGCAGAGCACGCCGTCGTGGCATCCACCTAAACAAACCCTTGTCTCTACACCCGCCTAAACAAATTTGTAAGACGACGTACCCTGCGCGACGGACGTGCCCTTGTATCTGCCTTTCGTGTCGAAAACCATGCTTGTTCCATCCCGAAATGTGGTGTACACCGTGGCTGTGTATGGAGCGTCGAATGTGCCCTTCATTACTTGAAGACGGGCTTGAACGGTGCGGTACGCCGGAATCCTGACATGGAGAGTGTCCTCGATCGTCCTAGTGATCTTCTCCGACCTAGAGCCGGAGAGCGTTTTGGTGAGCTTGAACCCTATGCCCCCGCCTATGTTGCACTCCGGGGGGCCGACCGATATGTTCGCGTTGGTAGATACCTCCAAACCCGTCTCTTCGGTGCAACTCGTTGTGATGCTGACCGATTCAGCCACTCGAATGGTCGCCTGTTGCGGGACCGAGGTGTGGTTGATGTAGGATTGTTCGATCACGATGGGGAACCCTGCATCCGATTCACTCACGTCTATTCTCACGTTCTTCGTCTTGCAGGACTCTATTGGTTTCAGAAACGCAAAGCCTAGGCAGTCGATTTCCCAACCACTTCTACCCACTACGGCCACGGGTATTCCGGAACCAACGTTGATCACATACTCTTTTTTTCAGCCCCACTCTGTCATATTGTGCATTAATGCGCTGCCATTGGACAGTTTGATCTATATACCTCCACAGCGGGTACCCGCACCGTTTCCCCAGAGCGAGAGCTCGCTGACCGTGACATTCCTCGGGATGGTCAAGCTTTTGGACGGTCCATTCTTTCTTCCTTTGACAAAAACATTGCCATCTGACAGGGTGACCTTAATGCCGTTGAGACACGATGCGCCGGCCCAAACTTCGATCCCAGTGACCACTGACCCATCCTTGTAGTAGAACTTCCCGTTTTATCGAAGTCGCTACCCCCGTCCCCGCCAATCAGGTGAATTCTTTCACAGTAGCCCTGCACAGTCACAAATTCGACACCATGAAACGGGTAAGTGGCCGTCGTAAATGACTAACAAGAGCCGCGAGCAAGCAGCCCTGCGGTATCCATTGTTAACTGTTCGTCTCTTGGGTATCGCTTAGCCATTCCGTGAAACCTGGACCACAACAGCACATACATCTAGATTGATTGAACGTCAGACTTCGCATGATATTACATGTATATTAATCGTAGACGTCTAACATATCAAAACAGGAAATTCCAGGCGCCGGGCGCATTCTTGAAATAAAGAGGGTCGCTCTGCAGAGTGTTGGAACATCCGAGCAAGGCAGCGATCGGCAACCGCTATGCCGCGGTTTTGCTCACCATATTCGTTGCGCAGGTGTTGTTGCGGAGCAGTGTTTGCCTGTTCCCCCTGATCACCTGGCACAGACATACATGCAGTTGTTCACGTCACGTTCTAGAACTAACCTTCGTAGAGGGGTATGATATGTTGATTGGTTTCAGCGAGATGTGCTGTAGATCGTAAGCGGCGATGATAGTATCGTCGAGTTGTGGCTCTTTGCCACGTTGCAACTGAATCCGTGAACAGCTGCCAGCAACCAAAAGCTGGTAAAGAGCAGTTTCGAAGAAAAAGCACGGTAAAAGAACAGTTTGTCAGGTTCTTTTCGTGACTAGACCGGATAAGAGACCGGGCCATTCGAGTACCGCTAAAGGCCAGGGCAAGCATATCATCTGTAATTGTATAAATTGTTCTTTCCACCAACTACCTGTGGTGTGCCACACCCGCATCAATTGATGTATACGAAGCATGCGACAATCATTTATGTAGTTGCAGCTGCTTACACTATCGGTTTGATGGCCCGAAACCAGTTCATTCATTCTTGGTGAAACAACATATTCCCCTGATTGAGAGCGAAGTATCTGATTGAGAGCGAGAGCCAAAAAAAATGAAATTTCGGGTCCAGACGCCTCTTGCCATTTCTTGGCAAGTAGGGGACGGGCTATTCCAAGAAGCGGTGCAAATTGAAGGTCTCATCAGCAGCTTCGCGAGCATATGCGTGTCATCGTCATCGGATGCTGCAGCGAGGAGCTAGACAAGTTGCTAGATTTGCCCAGATTGGCTATTTCTGCTCAAACTGTTTCAGGGCGGTATCGCGTCGGGCGGTGGGCTCTGCTGTAGCTTCTGCTCCCCGCTGTAGCTCCACAACGAGAGACTCCCACAGGATGACCAGGGTAGCGGCTTGAAGCTACGGGCTAGCCCTTCAATTCAAGCTACACAGCAAGCTCCACCTCTCAGTGGTAGTCCGGCTACAGCGTATCGCGCAATCTCGCTCTCAATCAGATGCTACGCTCTCAATCAGGCGAATATGTTGTTGTGAGCGATAGGCGCAATAGACTATGTATGCTGCAATACTCGTCTATATGTACCCCATCACACGCGAGTGAGACTGAACAAATCAAGGGCTACACGTATAATTACAGATTCCTCAAGCTAAACCACAGAGTTTTATTATTACCATTTCGTGGCCAGGTTTTATAAGTGGACGAGAATGATGTCTAAAGTAAATCGTCCTTCATTGAGAACCTTCAAGCTACATTTTTGCTTTTTTGTCTTCACTTCAAATCAGCGCTCACAGCACTGGTGCCGTTTACCCCAACCCGTGGTCACACAGCAGAGCCCCCCTCTACTCTCCCCTCCTGCGGTAATGTCCCTATGAAGCCCCAGAGCGCCCAAGCCCCCCTTTTTTTATAACCGTCAAATACATGGAACTCCACTATTTTTTTTGAAATTTGAGAAGCACACCGTTAGCTTGCGTTTGAGCATCTGTACGCACGAATCAGCTGCGCCACTCCCGAGATACAGCGCCACAACCACCACCGTCGGCGGATACTGCAAGGTTGGCGTTTTGGCCGCTCCTGTTGCTGAGGATGGTCAGGTCTAAGGTGGACCCAGAGCAGGCGCAGAAGGCCATCGAGGCTGTCCGCAGCGGCGCAATGTCTCTCCGGGCTGCTGCACAGGCCTATGGCGTGAACAAGCGCTCCCTCTCTCGCCGGCTGAGCGGTGATGTAAGCATGGATGCAAAGGTTGGTCCAAGGACTGTGCTCACAGTCGAGGAGGAAAATTTTGTTGAAGATGCACTGCTGTACGCTGCTCGTCACTTCATCGGGATCGACCGGACCGCGCTGCAAGAACATGTGCGCCAGCTGTGCAACGACGGTCGGGATATCTCGTGGGATGCAGCCGTCGGCCCGGGGCGATCATGGCTAGACGGCTTCTTCAAGAGGCATCCTGCGCTGTCGGAACGCAGCGCCCGCATCTACGAGGCCAACAGAATCATGAGTGACGACGAGACTTGCCTGCAGACGTTCTACAAGGACTTTGGCGAGTTCGTTGACAAGGAAAATATCCCTACCTGTGGAACACAGATGAGACAGGAGGTCCATATAGAAAGGTGTTGCTGATGGGTCTAAGCAGTACGCAAGGGCTACAGCAGTGCTGTAGTGCGCGTTGCAGCTGCGCGGCAACTTGCTAGCAGCAGGCGGAGTTGCGCCGATATTTTTTTTCAGTATGGATCGTTGGATCCGTCCTCTGCAACCCACACACCCCTGCAAGATCTGTTCCACTACCGCTGTAGACTAGACTAAAACGTACGGTTGACATACACCACAGTAGCACATGTCCCCTCCCCTTTCCCCGGCGCTCACTGTGTTACCGTACGCTCGAAGTCACTCGAGTTATAGCAAGAAGGACGGCGGCATGAGGTGTGTGTTGGGGATGAAACAGAAACCTAGACGGGTTTGGCTGTGTGTCGCACTCTAGCGCAAGCGTGGGTGTGTTCGTATGCTGCTGCGCCTCTTTTCTGATGTGATTATTCTCTATCGCCAACAGATGTAGCCGTAGTCTAGTCTCTTCGCCCTTTGCCGATACCCCCTGGCTTACAATGCTGTCGTCCGCCTCCTCTGTAGAAATAGTACACAGACCTAGAGAGAGCGGTACCAGGTGCGCCCCGACCACCTTCCCTACGCTCAACGCCACCTCGGCTACGTACCTTTCCTGGTCCAACATCTCTGTTTTGCAGGTAGCACTCCACAAGGCACCAAGACAATGAAGGTGATTGCGGAGAGCGGACAGAAAGTGGTTGGAGCGATGCGTTCAAACTCGAGAGACAACGTGACGGTGGTGGTCACCATCAGCGCGGCGGGTGCCACCCTCGCCCCGTGGATCATCTACAAAGGGCAGCGTATGCAAGCGGACTGGGTCAAAGGCAGAAACGGCCCTCCGAACGCGAGACTGGCAGTCACCGATTCCTCGTTCATGCAGGGGACCGTATTCGTCAACTACATTCGCGACTTTCACCGGCAGCTTCTCGACCGCGGCTTGATCAACGGCACGCCACACGTGCTCGTGCTTGATGGCCACGCCTCGCATGTTACCTACGAAGTTGTCAAATTGGCCAGGGACCTAAACATCGTCCTTTACCAGATACCGTCCCACTCGTCTCATGTTGTTCAGCCCTTGGACGTCGGGTCGTTCGGGTCATTCAAGTGGGAAATCACCAAGGTTCTCTCGGCCTTCCCGGCACGAAACGGCGGAAGGGTGCCCGCGAAGAGCGACATGTTGGGCATTCTTGGGGATGCTTGGTTGCGGAGCTTTTCCGAGGAACAGAACATATCATCCTTTGCAGGGGCAGGCCTTTGGCCGGTGGACGGGGAGCGGGCGATGGGTCGACTTCAAGGTGTAGGGAAGAGGAAGGAACGATCAGGTGCCCGCCCGCCCGTCGAGGACATCACAGTGGCGATTTCCGACAAGGATCTTGCCGACAACCTCGGCCCACGAACGGTTCGCGAGCTGCAGCAAAAGGGTCAGTGCGTCAAGGGCATCCTTATCAACACGGTCATGCTCGGAGCCTTCGTCAAGGCGAAAAAGAAGCAGAAGAAGCTCGCCATCACCCGCAAGTCGCAAGGTCTCCCGGAAGGAGGGGTTATCACGTGCGATGACGTCATGCCAAAATACCTCGAGGACGAACGCCAGAAGGTGGAGGCCGAGGAAGCTCTGAAAGAAAAAAGCATGGCACGGGAGATCAAGAGGGCAGCGAGGGAGGATGCGAGCTTGGAACAGGGGGCAAACCGCGCAGGGCGTGGGCATGGGCGGGGAGGAGGGCGAGGCGACACAAGGGGTGAAGGCTCTAGTGGGCGGGGACAGGGACCGGACGGAGGCAGAGGGGGGCGGGGGCGGGGGCTTGAAGGAGGTCAGGGGGGGCGCGGGCAGGGGGGGGAGGAAGAGAGAGGGCGCCGGGCTGTTGTTGGTCGTGGGCGTGTAGTTGGCCGAACGGCGGGCGGTAGAGGGGCGGTGGGTGGGCGGGGAGTAGAAAGTCGACCCGAGGCGGCGGCCGGCGGGCGAGAGGGAGGTCAGGGGCAAGGGCGGGGGCGAAGAGAAGGAAGGGGCGGGCGTGGGAGGGGCGGCGGGCGGGGTGGCGTTCGTGATCAAGTGGGGGAGGGGGTTGTGGCAAATGCCACTGGGCGGGGTGATGGTCGTGGTCGAGTGGTCGGAGGGGTAGTGGGGAATGCCGGCGTATCCAGGTCAGGGCGAACGCTGACGCCGGCACGCGTAGTCGACGTGTAGGTTTTTCTGTACCGATCCGAACTCAACCTAGTTTGATTCCAAATCGGTTGAAACCGCCCTTGGAATTGGCAAGGAGTCGGCAATCAAGTGTGTTTTTTTTTTTTTTTGAGCGTCGAGCAGTTCTGCGATTGTATGAGGCCACGCTGTACCATTCTAGCGGTTTGAATCAGTTTCTGACTGGAAAACCCGGGGATGTGACCACTCTGTCCCCGGTTGGGGACTCCTCCCCCCCGTTTGTATTTACTTGCTCCTTGCTATAGTGTCGAGGTCTGTGTCAAACGGCGAATCATGGGGTGAAAGCGAAGTAGAGAAAAACAGGAGATGCAGCGTCGTGCATATCGGGACTGGGGGTTGCCGTAGACGGACGCGAACACGGGTACATGCACCCGTTTCTTACCGTTTCATGTCGCGATTTTTTTGTGAAGTCGTTGTAAACCAGTACCAACTCAATCCTGAACATTTTTTTTGGCCCTACCTCGATTCATGGTCACGGGGCCCCTCAGCAAGCGATAATTGGGGTATTTTTCCGTCCAAAAAGTTGGTTCGAACCCGGGGATACGCCAATTTCATCCCCGCATACGTTTTTTTTTTAGCTACGACTCATATTCATAAGGTGATTGACCATGACACCAAGTATCATGTCCTGAAACGTTGTTTAACGTGCACAATGTGGCTCTAACGCAAAGTGGGGCTTAATTGGCGGGGGGTGGTGTTTTCCGTTTTTTCAGCTTCGAGGAGCCATGTATTATACTGACTCTAACAGCACACAAATTCATTTTTTTTCGTTTTTTTTTTTCTACACTCAGCTATTGATGTTGGCTTTCGTTCAATACCTCGATTGTACTCTAGTTCAACCTTTTCACGAAGTACTAGCTTGTTCCGCACAGGGTGGCTTAAGTGGGGCTTAGTAGGGACATCTACTCCNTCCTGAACATTTTTTTTGGCCCTACCTCGATTCATGGTCACGGGGCCCCTCAGCAAGCGATAATTGGGGTATTTTTCCGTCCAAAAAGTTGGTTCGAACCCGGGGATACGCCAATTTCATCCCCGCATACGTTTTTTTTTTAGCTACGACTCATATTCATAAGGTGATTGACCATGACACCAAGTATCATGTCCTGAAACGTTGTTTAACGTGCACAATGTGGCTCTAACGCAAAGTGGGGCTTAATTGGCGGGGGGTGGTGTTTTCCGTTTTTTCAGCTTCGAGGAGCCATGTATTATACTGACTCTAACAGCACACAAATTCATTTTTTTTCGTTTTTTTTTTTCTACACTCAGCTATTGATGTTGGCTTTCGTTCAATACCTCGATTGTACTCTAGTTCAACCTTTTCACGAAGTACTAGCTTGTTCCGCACAGGGTGGCTTAAGTGGGGCTTAGTAGGGACATCTACTCCACTTTGCCTTCGATTTTTAATGCGAGAAGAGTTCAGCACCCTCTTCCCTCTATGTACACACGAACTAGCGCTATCCACTGGGCCAGGCGCGGAAGCGAGAGAAAAACTCACTTTGCAAGAAAAGCTCGCGTACGCCGGGATTCGAACCCCTGACCTGACCTCTAGAAGATCGACCTCGGACCAGTCAACGCCAATGATATGGGGATGGAGTGTAGACGCATCGTAGAACGCGTTTTCGTTTGAAGTTGACGTCTTGTTTGAGAGTAGATGTGACAGATTTGCGTAGAATAGGGTAAGATGTTATCATGAACGGAGATGAAAGGGCTTTTCCAACACGGAGATGTAGCATGGATCAAAGCATTTGTTGGATTTCAGCTTTTACAAGCGGACATCAACGCAGTAGTATTTTAGCAAGCTTACGAACGCATATAGGATACCATCAGGATTGTCATTGGTAAGTTGAAGAGGAGATACTTTTACGATGTAAATGACAGTAGAAATAAGTCCTACATATGTTGTTGTACTTCGTATTGGTTTAATATTCATGTAGAGTATGAGACATTAAGTGAAAGTTTTCTGAGGTACATCTGCAATTGTCGGAAGGCAAAAATAAATAAATAAATATAATACCAACTAGACCACCACCCGGGCGACCGGGCTACATTGATTGTCGAACTTGAATGGCTGCAACGAAAAATCAGCTTCGAGGTCACGACATCAGCTTCCAAGTTTTACTTCGTAGCAAGGCACGGTCAAACCACATTCCGATACTCGCTCTTACTTTTATCATGTGCTCTCTGATGGGAAAGAACAAAGGGGGTTGTCTTGCAAGTATTCGATACTAAATGGCAATCGAGTTAGCTTCATAGCCTGGAGGTTTATAACGAAGCTACGATATATTTTCGACATAATTCAGTTGTAGAGCAGGTTTTATGGGATACTGATTGGTTGGGCAGGTTGGTTTCGCTTGAGGTTCTGCACGCACGCTAAAAGAACAAAAGAAGGGGGTAGCGTGCATGCGCGGATGTTTCATGGAACAATCCCCGGAGCGGAAAGACCACCTACTAACTACACCCTAGACTATATAGACTATAGACTACATTGGGTAGGTCTGCGTTCGTGAGGTGTATCTCGAGAACTTGGCCACGACGGCACAAGAGGCAGAGATGGCGTGAATAGGAGGAACACAGAGGACCCGCCTGCTTATGGTGGTGCTTACAGAGTCGCGGATTCTCCCGTTTACGTTGACTACACCACAGCGCGGCCGAATATACAAGATGTAGATCGATTCAGATTTTTCGCCCTCTTGAGGGCTAGATCGCCTTTTGGGAACACTTTTTGTCCCAATCTTCTCCACCTGCTTTACCTCGCGAAGAATGGCACGATTGTCTCCTCCTTTGAACTACTCGACCAGGGGGGTGCCAGGGTACACGGGGACGACTCTAGTTTAGTATGGATGCTTTGAAGTGTGGAGGAGTATGAGGGCAATGAACAGGTCGAATCGGGGGGCGATTACGCCGAGGGTTGAACAGCGAAGTTGCGCCGCGTCTGTCTACCCTAAAGGAAAGCGCTACTAGGGGCAAGCGCGGAAGAAGTACCTAGCCCACCGTTGAAAGGAGGCACCGGGCAACCTAGGGCTTGGGTAAGAAGGTCTCGCTTTCCCTCTAAAGAAATGTATTGAAAACCTTCTTTTCGTGCCCCGTTTACCACGCTCCCGCCAGTTGCTGTCTATAATCCTTATCAAATGTCCCCTCGATTCGAGGGGACATTTGATAGGGCTTACAGACGAGAGACGGCTCAAGTGGGAAGGCAGCTTTGCACTTGCATCCAGGGATGGAACTGTGTGCACCATCCAATCAGCAGGCAGGCGTCGTTCGCTCTTTTTCTTACATTTCAGAAATTTTGAATGAACGCCGAATTTTCTGTGCGTAGGAAGGGGGTTAAGTGCGGGCGCCATCTGTACAGGGACAGAAATCGCCCGTGACGTCCATCCGTGGTCTATGTACGAGTGTTTTCCTGCCAGCTGGAACGGAAGCACTCCGTAGGCCAACCAGCTATCTATGTATATACGTAGCATCGAGATAGAAGACCGGGACGGGAGAATGACACAAGGACGGGAAAAAAAAGGAGAAAACGACTTACTTGAGGGCAACAACCCAGGCGTGTAGTCACCCAGCCGGCTAAGGGCAACCAAACGACTAGGAATGCCGTCGCTAGCACGCTTACCTTGCGAAACTTGACGATATCACGCAGGTCCTTGCTTGATCTTAGGTGTGGTAGTGGAAGATGGGAGTGGATGTGGGCGCGTGGGGGTGCCTAAGAGCGGGACGGGCCAATGGCTCAACCATCCCAGGACCATTCCCAGCACCGATCCCGACGGGAGAATGGCAAAACTCTGAAAAAGAAACAAAAGTTCCGATCAAATCTCCTGCGAACTTTTGCTGTGGCGGGGGCGTCTCTCCGGGCTCCCTGAAGATGCAAGTGTTGATCGATATGATACCAAAATGAACCGAAGCGTAGCATTACCGGCGGAGGAGGTCCTCGCTCCTCTACCCAATGTGTGTCCGGGCTTGACCTGTCTTGTGCGCGAAGGGGGGAGTAGGGAATGAGAGATAAACCAAATTGGGGAAAGCCTTCAGGTGGAGATCGCGATTGTCATTATTTGTTGGAAGAAGGGCGGAAGAAGCCACAATATTTTCAGCCAAGCCAACAATCCGAGCCATGCTCGATATTGTTGTTGTCTTCACATTAAAATCCATCCCGGTCTCTCTATCCAGTACCTCCTTCTGTCTCAATCTCTCCGTACTAATCCAGCACTTGACTCGGTCAATTTCCGTGGTCACAGGCTAACGTACCTAGAAAAGGTATACCAAAATAAAATGGACCCCAAGGGTTAGCAGAGCGATAAAATACAAGAAAACAAAAGAATCAGAAACAAATAATTAAACAAATAGTGGAACGTGCGCACCACCAGCCTGGGGGGTAGCCTTCCGGAAGGACCCCAAGGGTCAACAGTACGTGCCAGTAAAAAAACAAAACAAAGCCGAAATAAATCAAAGACAGACGAGGACATAAACAAACTCCCACAGAGACAGGGATATCCGTAGAGCCAGTCTGAACGCGACAGCAAACGGGGGAGAGGGCAACAGAAAAACTAGTCGCTGAAATTCAACCGCAACATGTCACGTCACGCGGTCGGTCTCTTCTCGCTTGCTTTCTTCCCGCGCCGTTTCCTCCCGCCCCCCTCCCGCCCCGTTGATTGGTGCCGTATCTAGACTATTTTTGGGCCCGCTGTCTCCTCGTTTGATGGCTCGTTGTCGGCTGGCCTCCTCCTTGCCCTTGTGCCAAGAGGCCATGAACCTCTCAGCTCCCTGTAGCACCCCCGCGTGCCACGGTACCCCCCCCTCCACCTTCGCCGCCTCACTCCAGACTAACTTCGGGACTCCGAAGACGCTCGGCTTGTCGGTCGTGGAGCCGTACCTGGCTTCGAACATCTTCATGTCGTCCTTCAGGCATGTCAGCCAGTTCTGCTCCGGGTTTCCCTGGCCCGGGCCCTCCCCTCCCACCAACTCGCCGAACATCAGCCGTTTCGGAAGCCGCCCGTCCGGCTGTCTTGCCACGGCCCCCGCAAAGAGCAGGCGCCGTTGACGGACAGTGGCCTCCACGCTCTGGCAGCCGACCCTCTTCAGCGCCTGGGCGTATGACAGCTGCCGGTAGGTGCCTCGTTTGCGCCGGTAGCCGATGACTCGCAGGAGTAGCCGGTGGTGTGTCGTCTGCAGCATTCCGTAGTGGTTGCGGCGTGGGGACCATGTCATGCAGCCGTATAGCAGTGCCTCCACTGCCTCCGCCTGGAGCAGGCGGGCTTTGAGGCGAAACGGTGCTCCCGGTCGGTCGAAGAGCTCCGTGGCGTATCGCTTAATGCACGCCCACGCTGCTTTGCTCCTGTGGTTGATCTCTCGGGTAAGGTCGCCCTGCTCGTTGACGAGGCCGCCCAGGTATCGGAACTCGGTCGTCTGTGCGTACCTTTGCCCCGCTGCTTCGATGGTCAGCACCGGCGGTGGCGGCGGCGGCGGTCGCTGTCTCTCCTTCACCCGCATCACCAGGGTCTCCGTCTTCCTCTCCGACACCGTCAGCCCGAACTCCCGGAACACCTCCACGATAATGGTCATCATCCTCGCCAGGCCGTCGGCGGACTTCGACACAACGCCGGCATCGTCGGCATATAGCCTCCCCCACACCGCCCTCCGGACTCGGTCCAGCAATCCCTCCCCCCTCCGTTCCTCCTCCTTCAAGTACACTAGGTCCCGCACGATAACCTCATCTTGGCTGAACCGTGTGACAATGATCTCGAGAGGCGCTGCGAAGAAGACGTTGAACAGCAGTGGGGACATTGAGCACCCTTGTCGTAATCCCTGCGTGACCGGGAACCAGTCCGATAGCTCCCCATCGTCCGTGCGGACCCGGGCCCGCATTCCGACGTGGAACTTGCGGATGACGGCGATCATCTCCCCGGGGATCCCGGCCCGGGCCAGCACCTTCCACAGTAGCTCCCGGTCCACCGAGTCATATGCCTTCTGCAGATCGATGAAGCACATGTAGAGCGGGATTCTCCTCCTCCGCCCCAGCTCCTGGAGTCGGCGCACAACGAACAGCATGCATACCGTGGATCGGCCAGGCCGGAACCCGCACTGTTCCTCCGGGAGGATTTCGTTGGCTTCGCAGAATGCGCTCAGGCGGTTGGTGATGGTCTTGGCGAGTACTTTGCCTACATGCGAGAGCAGCGAGATGCCCCTGTAGTTGTTGCAGTTCGAACGGTCACCCTTCTTGTACAGCACCTTAATGATGGCATCCTTCCACTCCTGCGGCATCTCTCCCCCATTCCACACTTCGACGAAGATGGCACGGAGGCGCTCCAGGACAACTGGCTCGTCGTCGCCGTCGACCTTGAGCAGTTCGGCGGCAAGGAGGTCGGGACCAACCGCCTTCCAGTTCCCCAGGCCTTTCGTCGCCGCCTCAACCTCCTCGAGGTCTGGTACCGCCGCCAGGTGTCGGGTGGCGCGCGTCGCTGGTCGCTGCATCACCTGTTCGACAACGTCTGGGTTCAGAGTGGGGGACTTGGAGTTCAGGAGGGTATTGAAGAATCTCCGCCACCGCTTGAGGATGGCATCCTTGTTCCGGAGTAGCACGCCGTTCTCGTCTGTAACGAACTGCTGCCCCCCAGCTTGTCTCCCGCTGAGGCCCGTTGATCGCTTGAGGTGTTGGTACAGCCCCCGCATGTCGCGGTCCTGGTAAATCGCTTCGAGCTCCGTCACGTACCCTTCCAGGTGGTCGTAGACGCTCGTTGCGATTGTTGCCTTCACCCCCTTGCACGCTGCTTTGAGGATCCTCCACGTTGCTGCGTTCGGTCTGGCCTTGAAGCCATGCCGCGCCGCCCGTCGCTTGTCAAGGGCGGTCGCCAGGGCTGCCCGTGCGGCGGCGGTCATGTTCCATTCCGGGGTGCGCCGCCTCCGGAGTTCCTCAGACAGCTCCGTCTCCGCCGCGCCAAGCAGGGCCTCCGTGATATGTGCTTCCTAAATACTTTCGAAGTACTCCACGTAGACTAGCGATTTTCACACGCTCACCTTCCGTGTACACAATGTATTTGTACTTCAAGTATGCGTGTATTTGGTGGCGGGTACCCAGCTTCGCTTAACCTCCGACCCCATTAGAGAGGAAAGGACGTGGGTGAGGAGGGAATTTCGTTGCGGCAGTAAGGAGAGAGGTGACGTTTCGCACGGACCTATTGCACCAAGATGTCGCCGGTATGCGTACGTGTACCGATGCTTTGCCCGACCTGCCGGTATACCGTTGGGCTGTGTCCGCGAGGTTCGAATCTCCAATATTTATACAACCCGTGAACGAGGTTATAGTTGGACCTCAGCAACATAAGGATATGTTTTGGAAGAAGGAACACACCAGTGCGTAACATCAACGCCAAGGACGTGTGGGGTGTCCTTGGGGTCCGCGTGTGTACACCAGGGCTTGCGCACAAATTCTGTGCGCAAGCGGAGAATAAAGCCTCCAGAACTACCCTTACAGAACCATTTTGAATTCCTCCAGCGCACCAGCAGCAGCACACACACACACACACCAACGGCTCAACGGCACAGAAGCATTCGCTGCGCCCTCTTCAGCGCTGCGTACCCTGACTGGCTCACATGAGCCTCTACGTGCAAGACTACATGATGGTAGACGTTGGTGGTGGCGAAGGCGAAGCTGGCGGTGACACCATTGCCTCCGGTAGCACCGCAGCCCCTGGATCCTCTGCAGAAGAAGGTAAAGGAGCAGCACCGCCGTAGCGGTGGCCGTAAGGTGTGAGGCTGTGCACGAGACATGGCCTCGGAGCGTGGAGGTGTCCTTGTTGTGTTGTTTTTGTTTCTGTGATCTTTGTGCTCGAATGCGCGTGAGGTCTCCCTCATTCTTAAAAATCCTTGTACACAGCCCACAGCGGCACGTCTCGTCCAAAATCTTCTTGTATATTCGAAATAGTATGCACACCGCGAATCCCCCCTCTTCAGCGCTGCGTACCCTGACGGGCTCACATGAGCCTCTCCGCGCAGGACTGCATGATAGAGGCTACTCCCTCTGCGGCTCTCGATGCTGCTTCCCCTCCTGCGGTAGCAGCAGGTGGCAGCACAGGCGTGGGTCCCGAAGGCGGCGGAGCAAGCCCTTCGCCGCTGGCCGCGCTCATGTCTTCGAGCCGGACCTCCACGGAGATGCATGGTGCTGATGGTGCTGATGGGGAGGGGGAGGACATGGTGGTGGTAGACGTTGGTGGTGGCGAAGGTGAAGCTGGCGGTGACACCATTGCCTCCAGTAGCGGCGCAGCTCCTGGATCCTCTGCCGATGACACACGTGCGGCTGCGGAAGGTCCAGCTCCAGCCGGCGATGCAGCCCTGCCGGAGCTATCTCCAGGTATGATGGCGTATGATGTATGCGGTCATACGAGCAGACGTTTGTTGTAATGCGCTCTGTGTTACCCAACCGTATCCGTCCGTACTTCCGCACTACAAGGGGACGAGTACACGCCTCAACGCACCGCGATTTTGTCGCGGTTGTGATGAAGAAAGCCACCTGAAATTTTTAGTTTTATACGTCCAGCCCACACAAGTTGACACGACCTTCAATGTGCCACACTTGGCCACTTTTCTCGGATTCATTTGAGGTGGACCTGTGCAGGCGAGCTAGAGGCTATTGATAAGCAGGTCAGGGCGTTGAATTTCCCCAACTTAGAAGACGGGACCGGCGAATATGGCGAGAAGACCCTGGCCAACGCGGTAGAGATGGTGAAAGCTGTGCCCGGATTCACCCGCGGCTTCCACGTGATGAGAGTTGGCAAGTCGAAGGTGAGACCTACTTGGACATGCACTGGGTTTTCGATCGCAGCGGCGCTTCCCTGGCGTACATGTTCTACTTGCAGCGTGGGTGTACGAGATGGCGCTTTGGTGATAGTACGCATGCGATGCATGAGTACTTTTTGCACGCTCGGGGTTTTCGGGTCGTCAAACGTGACAAGTGACTGCGCACACTGCTACTATCTATCGAGGGCTGACATGTGATGTGTTGACATGTGATTGTGTCGTTGCCGCCGCCCCCCAGCTCATGACAAAAATACAGGCAGAGAGTAGCGGAAAGCGCAATAGATGGAACTGCGTGTGGATCACTTGCGTCCACTTCGGGCAGCCGAGAGAACGTGAACGTGTCGCGGACGAGAAGGCTCGCAAAAAAGCCTCTTCGTCCACGGTAATACCAATTGCCTGAATATTCGTGAATACTAGTAGGTGATGAAGACGCTCTTCACCTGCACTTCACTGTCCCTAATATGAAATGCTTGCGAGGGGCGGAAGTACCACCAGTGGCTTTCCGTTCGAGGGCGAGTGAGTGTGTGCGCTTGTTTCTTTGTCGCTGTGCAGTTGCCTGTGTACGCTGTGACGTCCAAGTTTTCATGCGTTGGTTCGATCCTTTCCTACACATGTCCTGTCGATCATTTCAGCCGGTACGGACGGCGAAATTGGCGTGATTTTTGTCCGTTTTTTGTGTTGATCTGGTGCGCTGGAGGAATTCAAAATGGTTCTGTAAGGGTAGTTCTGGAGGCGTTATTCTCCGCTTGCGCACAGAATTTGTGCGCAAGCCCTGGTGTACACACGCGGACCCACGTGTGGGCGTTCGGTGATTTGGGGTGCGAGGATCGCTCGAGACACGCCAAACATACTCCATACATTGTTCGGAACACCTTTTTTCAAAAAGTAACGTTTTCTGCAGAGATTAGCTAAGACTCTACATCACAGACGAAGACGGTTCACCTGCTTGCCAACGGACGACTACTTTCATCTGGGCCTGATCCACACGCTGTTGCCGACCCCCGCCCTGACGAGTCCAAAGATATTTCATGTGCCTGTATCTCGCGGCCAGCGGCTGTTCAATTCTACACTACCCCTCGCTCCACCGTCGGTGGTATAGCCCGCACGGAAGTCATTTTCCGAGTGATCGTCGCCTTTGGATTTCATTGAAACGCCCAGCTACCAAAGTGTACCAGTATCGACTTCACCACGCGCGACGCACGCACCAGCAGCGCTCTGCGCGAAACAAAGCCAGAAAAATTGTCTCGCGCACAAGATACCAAACCATATAGGCTACGTATGGTGGTAGGCTGGGTCCCATGAGACGTACGTCCGGATAGCACAAGCTACCACACCTCGTCCTACACGTCCAAACAAGAGAAGGTACACCTACTCTCCAACACGGGTGGCAAATGATATTCTACCTCAAACGACATCTCCCTCGAAATTGTCAAACAACAGCGACTAGCCTCAGCAGCTTGTCGTGACACCTCAGCTAGCTCATCGAGTTCAAACCATCTCGATTCAGCAGCCCCCCTCAAACACCAATACAGACGTAGACCAATTTTTCAGCGTTCCTGGCTATGGTAGGAGGTGACCGACTTCCACATCTCGGGAAGTTCATTACCCAGGAACGAGCAAACGAACGGGATCGCCCCAAACGAGAGGCCGACATCGATAATTGCCAAGACTATATCCTCCGGGGACTCCGTCATGCTAAAGAGCAGAACGCTCTCGATCGCCTCGATGGCCAGCGGGGCGATAAGAGCAACAAGCAACACAATCAAGTGACCGAGAGCCAGAATCGAGCATTCATCCGTGGTGGCCGAGGGGTCGCTCGTCGGCCGGGGGAGAAGCTGCCCATGCCGATGGCAGGCGTAAATAATCATTCGCAGAAAAAATACAGAAGCCAAAAACATTCCCCCGCCCGCGGGAATGCCGGCATCTGACGCGAAGTTGTACGCTACCGCGGATGCCCAGACAGCAAGCGCCTGCGCCCCGAATCCCGTGATGACTGCCGTGCGCATGAGGAAATCGTCGTTCTTCCTTTTTGCCATCCAAACCATCGCGAGCGGAGACCCCCCATTCCCAAAGCGATACCGCCCGGCCATGTACGCGCCCACGGCCAGGACTAGCGCAAAGAGGAGGCCGACGAATTTCATCGCCGCGGACGTCACGAAGACAAACTCCGTCAGCGTGGCAAACTGGAACCCGTCCCTCTTCACGGCGTTCACCAGACTCAGAACGAACTCTACGAGGGTCAGCAAGTTGCTGATCACCGCGCGCCGTTGGAAGTCTTTCGTTCCTCTCTTGCCTCTGCGCATTTCATCCTCGATTTCCCCCACCTCCTCCTCCGCCTGCTCCGTTGAAAATTCCATGGGCACGCTTAGAGGAATGCACGACTGCACCGTGTGGATACCTGTGACAACAATATAGGGTGGGCGTGGAGTACATTCATTCGTGGTGAGTAGCGGAGAAAAGGTGCTTGCTTGGGCCAAATTCCCTGAGAAGTATGATGCCATGGATGGATGCGGTATCGGAACCCAACTGGTTGTTGCTGTGCTGTGGTGGACCGGAGGCGAAAGGAGACGATCCTCTTATGGGGATGAAGAAGGCACTTCTGAAGGAGAACTTCATCTTGGGGGGAACGAAAGGACCTTTTCGGTGTGGGGTGAAGATGTTCGAAAACATCCCCCCCCCCTCCCCCCCGGTGTTTGCCATCGGGGCTGGGTTTTCGTCGCTTGGCAACGACGTTGTAAAACAAGCCGCCCCCCCCGGTGTTTGCCATCGGGAGTGGGTTTTCGTCGCTTGGCAAGGACGTTGTAAAACAAGCCAATTCACTTCGTGAACTCGGCAACCAGGTTACCGTTTTTTTTTTTTTTACCTCCGGGTTTTTTTTGGCGGTAACCATAATGGTGGTCGAGTAGATCATGTTGTGCGGGGTGGAGAACCCGCTCCGCGCAAGGGGGATGATCGCACCACGTTGTGTTAAAATGGTCAAGCACCCTCGAGGCAGTTACACAGTGCTTACAACTGTCT